TTTTTTTCAGCATGGAGGTGGAAAGTATATGATCATAGACCGCAAGATCAGATGTCTCTGTTGGATGCCATGAATGCTGCATGTGAGGACATCACAGCTGATCATTGCAGGGGATGGGTGCGGCATTCAAGGAGATTTTTTTCCCCGGTGCATGGCAATGGAAAACATCAGATGTGATGTTGATGAAAATCTTTGGCCTGACCAACAAGAGCGACAGGATGTCCAGCAAGAATAATTTTTGAAGTATTCAAAAGAAGTATTTTTGTGTATTTGTGGTAACATAAGAAATATGAAATGTACAGTAATTGGACAAGCAAGATTTCACTTATATGTAATGCATTCGTACAAAAATAAATGTACTGCATAAATACAAATGTTCATATACTTTTTTTTTTTTTCTATGTACTATTGACTCTTCTCAACAAATATCAGATTTTTTATAAAACCTTCATTTCCATGGTTGACTGTCATGGTGAAAAAACAACTAAACATTTTGACCAGTGTGGCTCACACGATGACAAAAATACTTTATATTTTGGTGGCCTTGGCCAAATTACTGACACGATAACTAGGTTTTGAAGCATGAATGAAATGTTTTGGGTGAGTAACTACATTTTGCAGACATGCAATAAAGTTCTGAAGTTCCAGCAAACAGTTGTGACATTTGCACTCACAGTTTAGAGAATGTTAAGATTGTTTCGAAAAATGTGCCAAAGCAATTGAGAAAAACTGTAACTATTGTCAATACTTTAAAAATGTAACACTGACTACAACAGCGTAAACAAGTGCAAAAAGCTTTTTGGCTATTGCTTAACATCATATTCCAACAATGTCACCTCAGCCAAAACCAAAAGTGGTTAAAGGTGGAGCAAATTACTATATTTTGATTAATTAGTACTAACATTTTCCCTTAGAATAATGAGCACTGAAAGTCATGATGAAACAATCAACACCACAGCTTTTCTTCCATATTGTGACAAATATCCGAGTGTAATGGAAAAAATGTAGGACACTTGTTTCTATTCATCGGCTGTTGTTCGGATTTTGAGATGCGGGCATCACGCTCAAAAGTGGAGGCAGGTGAACGTGATCTTGCAGGGATGGGTTTAAACAGACTAAATGATTGGAGAATTCCTGTATATGTCACCAGAAAGAAGTCTGGCATTTTCACTGGATTTCCAGTTATGCTTAAAAAGTTTTGATTAAAAACAATGAGGTCAAAAAAAAGAGGGAGACGCACGGATTAATTGTTCAAATCTATAACATGCATTTTGAAAATAAAGTGAATTTTCATTTCATGCCAACTTTACACAAACTGAGTGCATTTCGTTTTGAGTTCAATCTAAAATGTTAGGGCCTTTCGCACCGTGGGAACCTTTTCATAGTACCAGAACTAATTGTGGAACTACCCACTTTTTGGCGTTTTCGCACCGCTGGAACTGGGTGCGATTTTAGTACCGGACTGCCTTTTCGAGAACCAAATTAGCTCGTACTCCGGAGCAGGGTCTAACCAGCACAACTGGTACTAATCGTGACGCAAGTAGACATTGATTGGCCAAACGTGTATGAAAACACCCTCACCCGCCATGATTTAATACGCCGTGTAAACATACTGTAAACATTGTGTCAACTTATTTCGCAAGTATGGAGAACAGCGATAGATGGACGGACGCTGAAGTGCAGGCACTTGTAGCAAATGTAGCACTGCCAGTTGTCGTTGGAGATTCGTAGTCCTCCTTTCCGTTCTTTCAATCGCTTTACGTATACATCGACTTTCCATGTCCATTATTGTAAAACCCGCGAGACACAACAAACACAGCTCCGATCACAGCGCCCTCCATCCTCCTGTTGTTAATGTTGTTCTTCTTTGTTTCTGTTGTTGAACGCCGCACATAAATGACGTCGCTGTCGACCGGCTTACGTCACTTCTTAGTACACACTGTCGGTGCTAATGCAACCCTTTAAATTGTACCGGGAAATAGTTCGCGCAAAATCGTCCCAGTACTTTAGTACTGTACATTTAGTTCTGGAACTAAAGCGGTGCGAAAGGCCCTAATGACCCCCTTTGAGACCCCAAACATTACCAACAATCTCCAGCTCTGCCCAATATGACTTCTTCCCATTGGCCGCCTCCTCACTGGACATTATTGTGTACATCCGCCTTGGGTCAGGCGGGTCATATTTTTCCTTGGGCATCCCTGTAATACTGAAACACAAACAACAACCACTTTCTCTAGAACACTATTACAGGAAATGTACGGCACATGTACTTTATACACATGAAGTGGTTTTATATGACAGGAAACAGATGTGTAAAGGAAACTGTGCAAAGAACAGGTGAGATACCTAGGGGAAAAAAAAGACATTGCAAACCCTCAGAGAGTGCAAGGGAGCAGGAGTGAGAACACACACAAAAGCAATTCCAGGATCAATAGCTGAGGGGATTTTTCCATTACGCGTATGACAAATAGAGATACTCGCGCGCAGCTCAACGTCACCACGCGTCTCAAATTTACATAAAGCTGCCTTCAATTAAAACGAACCATAAGAGTTTAAAACCGTAAATGACAAATTAGCACTCGATAAAGAGTAAAGGCAAAAGATGACAACTTAAAGTTTTTGTAAGAAATTACCAACTAGCGGTAGCAAACTTCCAGCGTTCTCGAGTAGCTGGCATTTTAGGCAAAGGGCGACCCTATCGAAATAAATTTCATTTAAAACCACTTCTAAATTTGTTAGTCATGGCACAAACAGAAAGTCGGGTCATATTACTAATCCCAATTAAAAAAGGTGCAGCTGAAGTCCTTGCTAACTGCACTCCAAATAAACACAGTGCCAGTATATTTCCATTACATACCTGCAGTGTTAATCGCTAACTAATCAGTTAACTAACGGGCCAGATGCGGTTCATTTTTTCGTCTTTCATCATCGCTGTGCAACGGAACCCAAACAAAAACACCACCTCGTGTTTGTTTCCCAGAGCCACGTTACAGAGCTAAGTTAGGACTGCTAGCTGTGCGAGTCAAATTCACTGAGAAAACGGCAACCTGCAAGGCGTCTTAATGAGTCAATTAAGAACAAGTAATTAGGAAATGAATTGGCTTTAGATCGTAATATGTACTTGCCACAGATTTGCGGTCTAACTGCTGAAGTGAATTAGTTTGATCGGACCCCCTACAATGTAAGCGTTAACCGTTTGCTCTCTAGATAACCATGGATTTACTTTGCAAGTTTATTTGTGCGATGTTAATCGCCTGGAACCATCAGAAGTAATCCATGAAGTTCTATGATGTTAATAAGTATATCGAAGAAGACTGTGGTAGTAGCCTATGTAGCTTCCCTATGGACACAGCAGGCTGCTTACATAACCAACAACATAGATCTCAACATTCAAAATCGCTTGGTTGCTAAATTCATCAATCATAGATTTTAATGCGCCCACGCACGCAGCTAATACAAATTAAAGGATCCCAATCTTATCGATCCATCATTTCCTCTCTGTTCAGATTGAGCAAATTAGCTCATGAGCTAACTGGCTAACATGCGATTATACATTTACAAAACTAGACCAACACCAAAAGCACCGCAAAGCAATATGAAAGAAAACATATTCTGTTACTCGCATACCACTAGATACATTTGGAAATGCCTCAAACCCGTATTAGATTTACCTGTAAGCTCATACCAGTTCACAAAGACGAGTGCGCGTTTCTTTTGTTTCTGATCCGCTGCTCTTCCTCACTGAAGGCAAACAAGCATTATGGCGGCCGTGAGTTTCAGGGCGCGATAAGAAGCGCCCCCCTCATTGGCTGCTCCTGAAACGAGCGATCTGGTTGGTTCTTCTGTGCGCTCGACGCCTCCACACTGTTTACGCCAGCGAGGCAGGCCAAAAATGGGAGTCACAAAAATAGGTCAATTTTGCGGATGTTGACGAGTAGAGTAAAACAAAGATGCAATTTTATAGATCATTATGCAGTGATAACAGTAATGACAACTGATGAAACTGCAATTAAGAATTACACGTGGGAAGCGTGTTTTTGTTTTAAACACTCTAAAAATGAGAAATTAAGTTATATGGCGACTGATACACACATTGTCCTGTTTGCTTTTTATTGTTTCAACGTTTCTTTAAACTTGAAAATCAGACCACAAACAAAATACGGGAATCACATCATTTGTATTACTTATTTAAGGTCCATCACTTTCCAATAGATTATATCAACCACATAGGATAATAATATGTGAAAAAAAAACTGTAATTTCAGTTTGGTCTCGAAATATACAAGCAATAGGTCTTTAAAGGCTTTCATGTTTCCAAGAAAATAAAATGAAATATGTTATAATTAAAATGCGTTTATGAGCTGCATTTGACTGGCCACTGGATGGTATCATAGAGCTTTACATTCACACATCAAACTTAGCCAATATTATTCCATTCATCACACTTGATAAAGAAGGTTAATCTGAGCATATGGCATTGTAGGATCCAATATTTCACACATTAAATGAATAGTTTACCCAAAAATGTAAATGTGCTAAAAGGAACTTACCCTCAGACTTTCCAAGATGTTGATAAGTTTGTTTCTTCATTGGAACAGATTTGGAGAAATTTGCTTTTATCAGCTGTTTGGACTCTCATTCTGACGGCACCCATCCACTGCAGAGAATCCACTGAGTAAGGGATATAATAGAAATTTTCTCCAAATATGTTCCGATGAAGAAACAAACTCATCTACATCCTGAATGACCTTGGGGTGAATACATTTTCAGCACATTTTCTTTTGTTGTTGTTTCTTTAAGGTCTGTGTAAGTAGCTCACCTAGCTATACGGATACAGAACATTTGCATAACTTAGTTGTCCTTAGACTTTTGATTGTGGTATAATAGTGAAATTACAGTTTATTTGATGTTTTTATGATGTTTTTTCAAGCTGTGATGCATATTGGATTGTTTTCATATTTTCATAAATCAAATCAAATCTTTTTGTGCATTATCAAAAACAGGCCTAACTGACTGATAAAAACTGATGTAAATCATGTATAGGAAATGTGCTAATGAATTTGCATAATATCTAACCCAATTCACCACTGACATGTAGAAGGAATACAGCCTTTTCAATAAACTGTGCTTGAAATGTGGGATGTAAAGATTTGGTGACAACACTGAAACTGTCTAGCGATAATCCTGCCATAAGCACAAACACACTCCCACCTGCTGAGGGCTAAATATAGTTTCAACCCTGACATCTTCCACATCATGATGCACGTAACAAGGGCTAAACCTTTCATGATAGAACATCAATAGGTCTGAGAGCTTGAGGTCAGGCTGCGGCCTTAAAGATACCTTGATATTATACATACCTTTTGTGTACATAAATCACATTCAGGAAATTAAAGATAACACAGAACATGCAAAACAAAATGAATAAGCAAGAATTACGCCATTTTTTCCAATTTCCACCACATCTCAAACCCCATAACCCCAGCTCTTTGTCTTGCTAAGGGTAATTTCAAAGCTAGCATGTAAATGCATCCTAAATACACACAATTAAACAATGTTTTCACGCTCTTTGCATAATTTGACAAAATTATCGCTTGATTGTAAATGACGCACAATATACAGTAATTTCCTTCAAGTGATATTAACCTTGGGTTTCCTTTGTTTTCTTCACACATCACAAGTCTCACATTTCATCTCAAGCACTTCACTGACATGCTTGTCTCCTTGGTAACCAATACACTATAAAAAAGTAATCAGTGTGATGAAATGAGGAAATTATGAAATTATAGCAATTATTTTTGCATTTATGTATTTTAAATAGGGTATTATGCATTTACACAATACATATTAAAATGGATCTTGTTTGTTGCACTCAGATTGATTCGATTTATAGTAGTACACATGTAAACATTCATATTTTTATGATGAATTTTCACATTTCATTAAAAGTCTGAGTCTGGGAAAATAAAATCTACACAAAAATGTAGTTAAAAAAAAACATAGCAGATATAAATACAAAAAAAACAACAACAAAAAACATGATAAAACGTTTCCAAGACAGTTTTATTGTGAGTTTTATATAACAAAAAGTTCAACAAACACATAGTTTCAAGTGGCAATGATATGAATTAACAGAATTTATCAACATTCCAGGCAATAACTGATCTAATATAAGCTCTGTATTTTATTTCCTATTGTATATTTTACTAAGCCCCAACTATTACAGTTCTATAATTCAAAACACATCAGAGATGTAAACATTTCTTTATCATCCACATGTGCCTAATTGAATCCACATCATCCAATTAGCACCTACATAAATTCCAAAGCATCATTTTAAGCAGCATTCTCATTTAGCAGCGTGGCACACTCTAAAAAATGCTGGGTTAAATATAACCCAGCGCTGGGTTAAAAAGGGACAAACCCAGCTATTGGGTGACCCAGCTATTGGGTTGTTTTGACCCAGCGGTTGGGTTGTTTTGAACCCAACCGCTGGGTCAAAACAACCCAATAGCTGGGTTTGTCCCTTTTTAACCCAGCATTTTTTAGAGTGCAACTGAAATCTGACAGATGCTTTTGCCGCATTCACTTTTGCTCTGAGCATTGCAAGGGTTGAGCTTGTCAAATGTTCTATCATCTTGTGTTTCTCAATCATCTCGCTCCCGCTTCCGCTGACTGTGCAGATGTGTGCCAGAAAGCTCTCCAATGCAGTGAACTTAATGCTTTGAACTGTAGGATTCATTTAAATTGAGACATCCCCGCCAAAAGCAATTGAATGGCTTTCAATAGCATGCAAGTGTCAGCATTAATAGCGCTTTCAAGAAACCGAACGCCTCGGGTTATATAAATCAAACACTTGATAATTATCTCAGCACAGTAGGAAAGGAGTCTAATAATGTCATCATTTCCCATCTCTAATGAGTAAGAACTGAAGGTCGAGGGAAAAAGGAAAGGTTGTAATAGAAAAAAGAAGGACATCTTTCATCATGTGCTTGCAGTGATGCTCATGGTATGGCATGTAGCTGGCATTTCTCTTTACTCACCAAGTCTTCCAACCATATCATATTTTGTATTCACTTTTGATTTATATTCATTGGTGGATGACGTGTAATTGAATAATATAGAGGACTTGTTTAAATACACTTGACAACTTCAAAAAGAGTGACTTTATGTTACTAAGCCTGTTGTGGCTGTTCTGTACTCAACGAAGAGTGCCACCCTTACGAAAAATAAGTTTATTCAAGTGTGCTATTAGTATACTTCTTTTAAACTAAAAAATAGGAAAGTATAC